GGAAGGGCATCGGCCATTACTGAGGCAGTCCACCACTACCGAGGCAGTCTGCCATTACTGAGGCAGTTGACCATTACTGAGGCAATCTGCCTTTACTGAGGCAGCCCGTCATTACGGAGGCAGTCCACCATTGCTGAGGCAGACCACCATTACCAAGGCAGTTCTAACTGTACCTCTGTAAACAAGCCACAAGGAAGTTCACACAGCAACTCAGCAGAGCCCACAGCAGCTAAGTAATGCCTCTGCTGGCAGACTATGACTAGGCTACCTCCTTGCTGGGCAGGGCATCTCTGAAAAAAGGCAGCAGCATGTCAGGAACTTAAAAATAAAGCCCCACCTTCCCAGGACAGAGCACCTGGGAAAAAAGGCATTTATGAGTTCCACTGCAGCAGACTTAAACATACATGCCCAGTAGCTCTGAATGGAACAGTGGAGCTCCCAGCTCAGCACATGAGATTCTATAAGGGACAGACTGTCTCCTCCAGCAGCTCCCTGACCCCTGTATATCCAAAGAGATACCTTGCAAAGGAGAGCTCAGGCTGACATCTGACGGGTACCATTCTGGGACAAATATAACAGAAGAAAAACCGGCAGCAACCCTTACTGTTCTGCAGCCCCCACAGGTGATCCCAGGCAAGCAGGGTTTGGAGTGGATCTCCAGCAGTCCTATAGCAGAGGGGCCTGATGGTTAGAAGGAAAACTAAAAAACAGAAAGAAATAACTTCAACATCAATGAAAAGGACGTCCACTCAGATACCCCATTCGAAAGTCACCAACTACAAAGACCACAGGTAGATAAATCCACAAAGATGGGAAGAAACTAGCACAAAAAATATGAAACACCAAAAACCAGAATGCCTCTCCTCCTCCAAGGGATCACAACTCCTCACCAGCAAGGGAACAAAGCTGGATGGAGAATGATGAATTGACAGAAGCAGACTTCAGAAGGTGGGTAATAACAAACTTCTCTGAGCTAAAAGAACATATTCTAACCCAATGCAAAGAAACTAAGAACCTTGAAAAAAGGTTAGATGAAATGCTAAAGAGAATAAACAGCTTAGAGAAGAATATAAATGACTTGATGAAGCTGAACAACACAAGAGAACTTTGTGAAGCATACACAAGTTTCAATAGTCGAATCGACCAAGCAGAAGAGAGAATATTGGAGATTAAAGATCAACTCAATGAAATAAAATGAGAAGGCAAGATTAGACAAAAAAGAGTGAAAAGAAATGAACAAAGCCTCCAAGAAATATGGGATTATGTGAAAAGACCTAATCTACATTTGATAGGTGTACCTGAATGTGATGGAGAGAATGAATCCCAGCTGGAAAATACTCTTCAGGATATTATCCAGGAGAATTTCCTCAACCTAGCAAGGCAGGCCAACATTCAAGTCCAGGAAATACAGAGAACACCACAAAGATATTCCTCAAGAAGAGCAACTTGAAGGCACATAATCCTCAGATTCACCAGGGTTGAAATGAAGGAAAAAATGCTAAGGGCAGCCAGAGAGAAAGGTCGGGTTACCCACAAAGGGAAGCCCATCAGACTCACAGTGGATCTCTTGGCAGAAACCCTACAAGCCAGTAGAGAGTGGGGGCCAATATTCAACATCCTTAAAGAAAAGAAATTTCAACCTAGAATTTCATATCCAGCCAAACTAAGCTTCATAAGCAAAGGAGAAATAAAATCCCTTATGAACAAGCAATTGCTGAGATTTTTTGTCATCACCAGGCCTGCCTTACAAGAGCTCCTGAAAGAAGCACTAAACATAGAAAGGAACAACCAGTACTAGCCACTCCAAAAACTTGCCAAATGGTAAGGACCATCAACACAATGAAGAAACTGCATCAACTAACAGGCAAAACAACCAGCTAGCATCAAAATGGCAGTATCAAATTCATACATAACAATATTAACCTTAAATGTCAATGGGCTAAGTGCCCCAATTAAAAGACACAGATTCGCAAATTGGATAAAAAGTCAAAACCCGTTGTTGTGCTGTATTCAAGAAACCCATCTCGCATGCAAGGACACACATGGGACATTGGTGTAGGCAAGGACTTCATGACTAAAACACCAAAAGCATTGGCAACAAAAGCCAAAATAGACAAATGGGATTTAACTAAATTCCAGAGCTTCTGTACAGCAAAAGAAACAATCATTACAGTGAACCGGCAACCAACAGAGTGGGAAAAAATTTTTGCAATCTACCCATCTGACAAAGGGCTAATATCCAGAATCTATAAAGAACTAAAACAGATTTACAAGAAACAAACAAACCCATTCAAAAGTGGGCAAGGGACATGAACAGACACTTTTCAAAAGAAGACATATATGAGGCCAATGAACATATGAAAAACTGCTCATCATCACTGGTCATTAGAGAAATGCAAATCAAAACCACATTGAGATACCATCTCACACCTGTTAGAATGGTGATCATTAAAATATCTGGAGACAACAGATGGAGAGGATATGGAGAAAGAGGAACACTTTTATACTGTTGGTGGGAATGTAAATTAGTTCAACCATTGTGGAAGACAGTGTGGTGATTCCTCAAGGACCTAGAAATAGAAATTCCATTTGACCCAGCAATCCCATTACTGTTTATATATCCAAAGGATTATAAATCATTCTATTATAAACACAAGTGCACATGTATGTTCATTGTGGCACTGTTTACAATAGCAAAGACCTGGAACCAACCCAAATGCCCATCGATGATAGACTGGACAAGGAAATATGAAACATATACACCATGGAATACTATGCAGCCATAAAAAATGATGAGTTCATGTCCTTTGTAGGGACATGGATGAACCTGGAAACCATCATTCTCAGCAAACTGACACAAGAACAGAAAATCAAACACCACATATTCTCACTCATAGGTGGGTGTTGAACAATGAGAATACATGGACACAGGGAGGGGAACATCACATACTGAGGTCTACTGTGGGGGATTAGGGGAGGGACAGTGAAGGATAGGGAGGTTGGGGAGGGATGACATGGGGAGAAATGACAGATATAGATGACAGGGAGATGGAGGCAGCAAACCATCTTGCCATGTACACACCTATGCAACAATCCTGCATGATCTGCACATGTACCCCAGAATCTAAAGTACAATAGTAAAAAAAAAAAAAAAGCAAGAGTAAAGAATTGGTACCGTTAATGCAATCAGTCACCTGGCATATGTAACTAAAATAGATTGGGAACAAATGTATAGATGATAGATAATGTTAACTTCTATGACTGCTGGATCTAGAGTATGAAGTGATGTCATCTGGTCTGGTTTTGCACTCTTTGAAGTTTAAGTCTAGTTCTCTTGTACTGTCTTCGCCCTCAGGGAGGCCCTTTCCACATTGTAGTACTTAGAGCTCTATCTTGAAAGTAAGGAATTCCAGCTGAAGAAGAGCTTATCTTTCCCAACTCTTCCAACCAGAGTTATAGTATTGAGTCTTGTTGGACCAATGTGGGTTACATGCCCATCACTCCTTCTATGTCTGGAGGATAGAATATGATGCTTGAGCAGGCTTGGGTCATGTTCTCACCCCTTGCACCATCCAGGATGGTGGAGTGAAGGGAGTCAACCTTACCCAAACCTGATGAACTGTGAGTAGGGGGTTGGGAACAATTTCTGTAAGGAAAATAGTGACAGTATTACCAGAAAGTGTGTATTTGGGAGAGTGGAAAGGGATGAATGATAGGCAGGTGAATAAATAAAAGATGTCCCTGTATATTGCTATTAATGTACTTATCTCATTGAGACACTCACCTTCAAAATCTATTTATTGACTATTTGCTTCTTGGCATCAAACTAGGTATTTTATAAACATCTTCTTATTTCTTAAAATACTATGAGTTAGGTGGTATTACCTGCATTTTGTTGTTTGCAGAGTAGAAGCTCATAACAAGGTAGATTTGTCTAAGGTTACTCTGCTAGTTTGTATTAGCATGGAGATTTGAACCTCAGCTTGCCATTCTCGAATTTGTTCTCTTATTGTTATAAAGCTAAAGAAAAAGAAAACACACTAAAGACGTCCTAAGAGGAAGAACAGGAGGCCATAATGAGCCCCATTAAGGCCATATGAATGCTAAAATTGAAGGGATACTTACAGTGCTGTAGCCCCAGCTACATAAAATCTTCACTAATATACTTAAGTAATCATGACAGGAACCTCTTCTCCTGTGCCATTTCTGTATGGATATGAAGTTGTTAATATGAATATTAAAGTCAACCAAAATGGGAAATAATTCTCCAGAGGCCAGCCTGAAAGACGTGTGTGAAAGGGGAAAGAGATAGGACTGTTGTTTTCTCTGGTAATAGCACTGAGGATCTGGCTATGTGTTTAGGCATCCCATTGGCTGACCTACCTCTCTTTCTTCTAGCTCCAGGATAGCCAGGAGGTTTCAATTCGTTTGTCAATGCCAGCTGATTGGTGATAAGCCATCTAGAGTGTTGTGTTGAGAAAAATTCTGAACCTAGTGGAAAGGAGGACTGTTGTGGATTAGTGAGGTCTGTAATGAGTATAGGAGCCAAAGGTAACAACATGAATGCCAAATATTTGACATCTGAGGAAGCAGCAGCTCCTCAGAGTGACTTTCAAACCACATGCCTATGGGGGTTATACCCCGAAGGAGGGACCATTTTATAGCTAAGGTCTTCCATGGGGGATTTTCTGGAGGTTCCAACTCTAACCTTAGCACAAACCAATATGGAGAGCTTCATTTTCCTGAGGAATCGACCTTACTTTTCACTTTGAGAATTTTTATCTTGCTTAGGGGCAGGGTGAGGGAATTTGTAAAACTTTCACGTGTAGTAGTAAAGTTTGAGAGTCACTTTTCTTTGTAAATGAACATTATAGCTGTGACTCTTTCTATTATTAATCACCTATCTACATAGGTTCATCTATCAGTATATATTTAAAAATATAATGCAGTTAGAGTTGTAAAGAAATTTCTTTTTAATTATTCTTTTTCTCACTTTTCAGGTCTCTGAGTGAAGTTATTTTCTGGTACAGACTGTGAAAAGAATGCAGTGAAAATTCTGGACAATCGTGGAAATATTAGCTCAAATCCCAACTTAGTATAGCATTTCTTCTCTTCAGTAACACCTCATAATTGAAGAAAAATGTATGGAAGTGCAAGAACAATCACCAATCTGGAAGGTAGCCCTTCCAGATCCCCTCGTTTGCCAAGGTCTCCTCGTTTGGGCCACCGAAGAACAAGTAGTGGGGGAGGTGGAGGAACAGGCAAGACTCTGTCTATGGAGAATATCCAGTCCCTCAATGCAGCCTATGCTACGTCTGGACCCATGTACCTGAGTGATCATGAAGGGGTGGCTTCAACAACTTACCCAAAGGGCACAATGACTCTGGGAAGGGCTACAAATCGAGCTGTGTATGGAGGCCGTGTCACAGCCATGGGGAGTAGTCCCAATATTGCTTCTGCTGGACTTTCCCACACAGACGTCCTTTCATACACAGATCAACATGGTGGTCTGACTGGCTCATCCCATCATCATCACCACCAGGTCCCCTCCATGTTGAGGCAGGTAAGAGACAGCACAATGTTAGATCTTCAGGCCCAGCTGAAGGAACTGCAGAGAGAGAATGACCTCCTCCGGAAAGAGCTTGACATCAAGGACAGCAAGTTGGGATCTTCCATGAACAGTATTAAGACCTTCTGGAGTCCTGAGCTTAAGAAGGAGAGAGTCTTGAGGAAAGAAGAGGCAGCACGGATGTCTGTCCTCAAGGAGCAGATGAGGGTTTCCCATGAAGAAAATCAGGTAGGTCATGACTCATCTCAGTATTTTTCAGCCTTGGCTTCTCACTGAGTAGTTGATGCTTTGCAGGTACCATGACCTGTACAGAAGAAAATTTGGCGTCATCAAGAAGGTTATGGCTTAGTATGTGTTTGACTTGGGCACTATGAGAGAGCATAGGAAATATACTCTTACAGCTTGTGATTTCCTTATTTTCCAATAACCTTTTCACGTGGTTGCAGAAGGGGAGGGGGTGGGGTGGGGAGAATCACTCCTCATTTCCTAACTTTTGTACTTGGTTAACTTTGTTATCTTTCTCAGCAGTTGCAACAGCTGTTCAGATGTGCCTCCTTTTGAATAGAAGAAGAAAATGTTAATTTCTGCAAGAATAAACACTTTGACAGGAACATTTAGAGGGCCACATCTGACTGGTGAATCAATTTTTATTTTGAAGCACCAGCACCATTATTTCCTTCTAGAATGAGTGAAATTTGTTATCTAAGTAGCAAATTGAACAATATGAAATGGGATTGGTTAAAATGGGTTGTTATGTTAGAGATACACAATGAAGTTTAACTTGGTGTTTTGCCTTCATACATTCAGCATTAATTAACTATCTACTATGTGCAAGTAGATACTTTTCTTTGATCCATCTTTCATGCCACAGGAAGAACAGGTTCCTGTTGTCTGCCTGCATTTATGCTATTTCCCTGCTTTAAAGCCCTCAGTTTTACTCATTGCCTCCAGGATACAGCCTACCTTCTTGACTGAGCCCATAGCACTTCTACTAGAAGGCCTGGGCCAACCTTTTCAGCCTTGTCTTGTGCCGCCTCCCTCCACATCTGTGCTTTCTGCACCACTGCTCGGTAATTCCTGCACACACCCAAGGTTTGGCACTGCCATGCCCTTGCTCTTGCTGCTCCCTTCCACTGGTGGCCTTCTCAGCACCCCCGTTTCCTGCCACCTTTTGTTCAATCCCAGCCAGCCTTCATTTTCAAATCCTACCTTTTCTGTGAGGCCCCTTTTATTTGCTGCTATTTTATTTTTAAATGCTTACTCTATTTCCTAGAATGCTGCTATTTTTATAAGAGCTTTGGAATCAGACATACCTGGGTTTAAATTCCAGCTTCATCTCTCTCTCTCTCTCTCTCTCTCTCTCTCTCTCTCTCTGTTTGTCTCTCCCTCTTTTCTATTGAGATGGGGTCTTGCTCTTTGCTCAGGCTAGAGTGTAGTGACATAATCATAGCTCACTGCAGCCTTGACCTCCTGGGGTTAAATGACCCTCCACACCTCAGCCTTTTGAGTAGCTGGGACTACAGGCACATGTCACTGCAGTCTGACAATTAAAACCATTTTTTTTTCTTTTTTGTAGAGACAAGACCTTGCTATTTTGCCAAGGCTGGTCTTGAACTCCTGGCTTCAAGGAGAAATCCCAAAGTTCTGGGATTGCATGCTTGGCCCCAGCTTCATCTGTTACTGGTGCTTATAGAAGTGCTAAGAGCTGCGGCATAACAAGTGTGATACCACATGGCTCGAAAACTCCCAGATATTATTTAACTTTCTGAAAAAAATTGAACAACTCTAAGTTGACTGAACAAGTGGTTTTCCAATAACTGGCCTTGATGTTGGTCTAATGAAGTGCTCTGCCTTACTTGGAGTCATCTGCTGATCCTCCTGTTTCCCTGGCTACCACTTCTTTGGAGTTTAAGCACCTGTGGAAACATTTTGATCTATATGAAAATCTGTCTTTTGTTTTCCTTCTGTGTGTAGAAAAAAATCACTTTATCCTTGTGATTATCTGACAGAGCCAAGGCTGGTTTTCAGATGGAGAAATGTGACTTTATAGTTGGAACTGAAAGCTTTGTTCTTTACTCTGAAATGATGCTCTTCAGTATCATTTTTGCTTCTTTCTGGTTTTGCTGGTTCATGAAGTCTTTATGAACCGGTTTCTATAGTGCACATTTTCCCCCAGTTTTGTACTGGTTTTCTCTTCATTTTAGTTTTTTTTTTTAAAATTGTTAAAGCAGTTTAGGAATGGTGCAAGTAGGGACAAAAAGTTTGAAAGCTCTTCTCTCAACTGTTAGCTCCAAAGTGACATGTCTCATGCTTCTTCCATTAAATTTGTCTTTGAGCACAGACCCCAATTATGCACATATGTTTATTTATAAATTACAGGATGCTTTATGCTGCCAACATATTATATGTCTTCTATGACATTCACAAAGAGTTAAATGTGGATGAGATAGAGCAGAATAATACATATACACTTTAATGATATATAAAACCTTTTTCACTTTCATTAAAAACATTTTGAACCACTTGTCCATTTCATGAGGGTTAGTTCAGTTTAGAGTAGGTGATATTCATAATTCCACTTAACTGTCTCATGTTGCCATATGCCAGGAGTGTGTGGATGCTTGAGGCACTTCCATTATCCCTTCCTTGTTCTGGTCTGTACTGTGATCACAGGATACCTTGGGTATTGTAGGTGAAATGTGACTGTGTGATATATGACTCGGTGAAAGCTCTGGTATTAATCTGTAATTTAATACAAGTAAAATGTAATGTTCTCTTTTAGATTAAAAAATATAAACTGAGGAAGAAGGATGGAGATTTTGAAAAGTTTACTTGAAATATGATGTGTTACAAAGTAAAAAATATAAAGATTGACAAAAAGTAAGTTATTAAAAAAAACTGTATTCCCTTTTTGGAAGTATATTAGGATCCCTTTTAGAAGTATAGGGGTACCTGTTGGTCAGGATAGGGTACGTTTTGCTGCAGTAACCAACAGACTTCAAATCTCAGTGGATTAACATATTAGAGATTTATTTCTTATTTGCCTAAAGTATGAAGCAGGTCAAGTGACTCTATAGGACAGGTCTTTTCCATGCAGTGGCTCAGGATCCAGGATTTCTGTATCTCAATGTGTGGCTTCAAGGGTTGCTACAGCAGGGGAAGAGAGTGACTGGAGGTGGCACATTGTTTCTTTAATTCTTTGAACTGAAAGTGACATAATTGAGGGGGTTGGGAGATGGAATCCTCTCTTCTGTCCAGGAAAGGGAGGAGAGACAGATATATGGTGGATAACTATCAGTGGGGTTTTTATATTTGCCCAAAGTGGATCTAAGCGAAATAAAGTTTGGGGAGCAATCTAACTTCTGCTATTGCTGTTGTTTCTATTATGCTGCTAGTGGTACCAGTAGACACCTGTTGAGGGCCTACTGTGTGCTAGGCATTGTGCTTAGTGCTTTGTGTACATTATCTTATTTAGTGATTCCATCAGTCATCTGAGGTGGGTACTAGAACTTTCCTTATTTTACAGATGAAGCATATATATAGAGAGAATAAGCAACTTGTCCAAGTTCACAAAGTTGGTAAGCAGCAGAGCTGGGTTTTAAGGCATTGGTCTATTTCATGCCAAAGTCTAAAATCTTAACTTTATGTTCACGACCTCCTTAAAAGATCCCTGAGCTGTGATTTAGTATTATAGAAAGATCCTACTTCACACATGCTAGATGAAAAAATGATTGGTTTTGATAAGACAATTAAGAATATGATTTATTATTATTATTATTTTGAGACAGGGTCTCACTCTGTCACCTAGACTGGAGTGCAGTAGTGTGACCCTGGCTCACTGCAGCCTTGATCTCCTGGGCTCAGTCGCTTCTACCACCTCAGCCTTCCTAGTAGTTGGGACTACAGGTGTGTGTCACCATGCCTGGTGAATTTTTGTAGTTTTTTGTAGAGATGGAGTCTCCCTATATTGCCCAGGCTGGGCCTGAACTCCTGGGCTGAAGTGATCTCCCACCTGAGCTTCCCAAAGTGCAGTGTTATCTTGGTGCTGTCACTTGGACTTTTGCTTCATGATGTGTTTTCTTAAAATGGAGGTGGGTGGGGCAAGGGATTACGGACATGTTACTCTTTGTAGTGGCATGATTACAGAAGTGAGCAACTGCACCTGGCCAGAATTTTTATTCTTAACTAAGAATTTATTTCTTTTTCCTAGAGATGGTTTTTGAGCTGTTTAGGGTTTTTACCGTTTACCATAACTTAATTTCCTTTTAGAGGAAAAATCATGGAAACTTTCTTTATGGAAGAAGGAAATACAAAAGAGATAAGGGACATTTGATTATGGTTTCTTATCCACAATAATCAGAGATTGCATCTACCAAAGTAATTCTTTCAGGGGTATTTAGATATTTAGAATTTCACTCACCTAAGTTCGGATGATCTAATACAATTTGAACTGTTCTGTGTGAAGAGAAATTGGAAGCAGGTCCGTTATAGGGTATAGGTGAGGAGATTTAAGTGCTCTTGTATAGAAAGTTCATAGTTTTGTAAACATAATGGTAACTACCACAGCCCTTTCCTTCTTATGTGCAGTGTTGTCAAGGGCTCCTGCTCGTTAGTTTATTTACAGTAGATGTTGAAGTCCTCATGGTTCTGTCTAAGGGAGTTGAACCCAACTCCAGATCTAAGGGAGGATGCTGAACTCCCTCTCCATGTTACAGGAAGTGCAGGACTGTTTGGAACCTTGAGGCTAATGGGTAGGTGGCTATGACCAAATTTCTTATGTGCAAAGGGTTGATACTCAGTTCTTACATGGATATGCCATCCCTCCCTCCATTCCCACTTCTCCTCCACCCGCTTCCCTCCAAGGCCTCACTTCTCAGCCATGCAGTTTTACATGAATATAACGACAGTTGCTTTACTGCTAAGAGTCGCAGCACTGAAATTTAGAATCATGTGCTTGTTAGTATAAACCAGAGTGCGCGGATGCAGTGTCATCTTGGTGCTGTCACTTGGGCTGTTGCTTCAAGATGTGTTTTCTTACATTGGAGGAGGGTGGGGCAAGGGATTATGGACAGCTAATTCTTTGGAATGGCATGAAACCACAGGCCATGCTCTCTACATTACACCTGTAGAACAATCAAGGGAGAGGTGAGGAGGTAGTATTGGGTACGGATATTCTGCTGCCACATGAGGAAGCCCCTTATTATTTATAGTGGCCTGTGGGGTTGGGA